ATATGTGGGTGTAGGACTTGTTCAAAGCAAACTGAAAAACGTGGTTCAGTTTGGAGTCCATTTCCGACGTTGAGTTTGGTGGGCGATAAATCACGGCTAGTAGACATGTGTCCTTGTTTCGCAACCATAGGCGGCACCAAAGCGAATCAGGAGCTCGGATTTCCGGGTGATCGATAACTTCACATCGGAGGTTTGTATTATAGTAAAGAATCACACCGCCACCCCTTCCGGTTCTATCGGTCCGAAGCAGCGACATACCGGGTAAATTGATCTCAAATCGGTTATCTCAGGGTTTAACCATGTCTCCGATAATTATAACGAGGTCCCGCGGTTGTGAGGCATGGAGTTCTCTAAGTTCGGCCAACTTGCCTAGAAGGTCTTGGGCGTTTGTGTACATGCAAGATAGGGCTTTGGTTGTCAGGAGTGCGTTGACGGATGTCAACTTTGTGTTAGTTTTTAAGCCGGCCGTTAGGTGGCCGGCAATAAACCGTTTTTGGTTTATGTATTTCAGTCATGTTGTATGGCTTTAATGAGCTTTCATGAACAGACGTTTCACTCGTGCTGTGCTCTGTCCTGTTGTGTGCCGTGGGCGCTGTTGTGTCCGTCTCTCCGCAGGACTGTGCAAATAAAGATTTGTAGCGTTTGCAAGTTCCATCGAATTGCTTCCGACTTTTGGCCGTTCGCCTGCTGCCTTTAGCCGGATCTCTGTTGGCAACCTAGCTCGAAACTTTAACCAGCTATCCAACAGAACTTGCGTCATTCCTCGGAGTGTAGTATTACTTTCATTAGCTTGGACCGCAGCCCTTGTAGTTAGGTGATGACGGAACTCTTGTCAGGGATTTGGCAATAACATTGTCAACAGAGAGTGCTTCGCGGATGTAGCACCACTGCTCTCGGTCATGTGTTTGCGCATCGTGATCAGAAGAATGCAGAAGCTCAGGAACACCATGAACAAATATTGTTTTCTTGCTATCCCTATTAGGAATGCCGCGTTGCTCAACTGCTTCTTTGGGCGATCTTCCAAGGTAGATCAGGTAATATGCGCACTCCGCTCGGTGAGTTGCGAAGACGAACTGCTGAGAGCAGGACAGCCTCTGTCTCATCTGCTGAGTCTAGTGTTACTCGAAGAATTCGAGGTTCACCAGAGTGCACTGAGGTCGGGTGACGCGCTACGCGTTGCAGCATTGCAGGCTCAACCCGAATACCAATCGCCTCGCAGATGGAACTCCACTGGTTGCGATCGTCTTGCAACTTGCCTTTTATTGTGCCAGATTTGGATTCGGGAACATTGGTGCACACGAGAGTTAACGCAGCATGGTTTTGTCTGTCGAGTGCTGGTTTTATACTTTTTGCTGGCAATTCGGGATGTTTAGAGGGCACCACTGGAGTTGACGGTGAAAGCTGATTTGCGCCACGCGTGCTTGGTACAGAAGATGGACATGTGTCGCTGTCGGTGTGTTTGTCGAGGTAATCGATGCGTACGTTACCTGCCATTTTACATGCACCGGATTGCCTTCGGCTCTGATCTGTTGGTGTCATGGCTGAATCTTCAAGTGAAGCGTCTATGGTTGGAGAAGTGGAAGCAGGCATGTTTGGGGTTTGCCCATTTATGGGAATGAGGTGACCCAGTGGATTTAGAATCACAGACGCTGCAGTGCGGTTGGAGCGTCTAGCTCTCATCTTCGGATTAGATTCGGAGCTTACTTTGGCCGGATGAGGTATTATCGTGGCCATATTTACCTCCGTAGGATCGACCTTAGTATTTAAAAAATGTGCGGTTATCTCAGTCATCCTATCGCACTTTTTCATGAGCAAAGATAAACAGTTGACAACTGGAATGACTTGACATGTTGGGCAAAACCAAATTGTGTCAGCAACTTGGTTTGTCTGTCTCACTTCTTGGACGGATTTGCCTACACATTGCGGACAGTACGATCTAATGCAGCTAGAACAGGTAATACTGATCTTAAGGACTTTACTGCAATTGTCTGCGCAACATAGGCGACGTTGAACCATTGGAATGCTAGTCGTCCTCTTATTGTTTACAGCAAGGCCTATCTAAGCGCTCACCTTGATGAGTGTTCTTTACGCTGGGGTGACGCACGAATAGGTCAGAACACGCACACGAATTGAGAGTTGTTCAACCGCACCAAAGTCAGGCGGTAGAGGCAGATGGAGGTCGTAACGCGCAGGCTGTCGGGTCACAGCGATCAATCGACTCGCAGTTGAACACACCCACCCACACAAAGCGGCAGCGTGTGTTAATCGGCCTGCCTTAAGCGACGATGCAGGTGGAGCGCTGATAAGCGTCTCTAGAGCTGTTCAGTTGATGAGCGGAGCAAAAAGGCTGTAATTTTGTTATGCTGCAACTTGCAGGGATGGTTGCCGCGTAGTTTGGGAGCCCTCAGCTTCTTCTTCCGAATGAGACCAAAATCTTTTCCGAAAAACCGGTTTGATGTGGTTACACAAGTGGAATTCGGCAAAGAATATGCCGAAAACTGGGAATTGGAGCAAGAGTATAATCCACACAGGTTAGATCCAAGAGTTGGGAAGCACTGAGTAGAGCTCGTCGAACTGGTTCGAACGAGCGCACGCACAATATTGTGTGATGAGAATTAGAGTGGCCACAGAGGGCAAAGCGAGAGCCGAGTTAAAGGTTGGCCGCACGGGAACTGGCTAGTTTAAAAGGGTAAATTGGTTATCAGCAAAAAAAAGAAAACAACAAATCAAGCACTGGGTTTTAAATGAGTCGCGTTAAAAGTAACCGGTTTTGAGGTCAAGTTACCACCGAGAAACACATTTGGGGGGGGGACAGAAGAGTTTCAACTTACTTTCAAGAGTTCAATGAAAGGAAAAAAGTTAATCCTCTGTAAGCCATTTTTGTAGAGATCTGAATGTAATATGAAGGAAATTGTACCAGCCATCAAAGATTAGGTTAATAATTTCATCCAGCTATATTGAGTAAAGGAAAATAGGTTAATTATGTATGAAAATAGTGACAAACTGGTGCCAATAATAACAAAATACGAAGAAAAGATCTGAGTACTGCAAAGCCATGGTAGTTTCGTCAGTTATCAAAGGAAGGTGTGAAAGTAAGAATGTTAGGATAAAAAGCTCGAAAACGAAGCTGTGATGTCTAATATCGTTTCCATTTAAGTTTGCAGACCTTACACGCAAAAGTTTATTTCGGAGAATATATGGCAACAAGTAACAATTAGAAAGGTTGGTGTATTGCCAAGTTGAGGCGAAACACAGCTTTGCAGTTAGCCTAAACATCTGAATTTGACACAGAGCATCGGGACTTACAGCACCAGATGAGCAGTTGTGTCATCTACATCAAGCATCTTTCCGTGTGACGTCGACAATACACGTCATTCCTAATAAGTTAAACAGAACAACTACAGGGCGTTACCAGCTTAGCCCTCTAGGTGTTCTGCTTATCTTATTAGGAATGACGTGTAGATTGTCAACGTCACTCGGAAAGATGATTGATGTGGATGACACAACTGCTCATCTGGTGCTGTAAGTCCCGATGCTCTGTGTCAAATTCAGACGTTTAAGCTAACTGCTAAGCTGTGTTTCGTCTCAACTTGAAAACGCACCAACCTTTCTAATTATCACTTGTTGTCATATATTCTCCGAAGTAAACTTTTGTGCATACGATCGGATGCATCAGAATGACGCACATATCCAACTTCTAGTCGGTTGACGTGCAAACAATATAACGGATTTTTATAAGACTGTCGAGATAGATTTCAGGTTTTGAATACAAATCGGTTTTTGTAAGATTTCATTATGGCTAGCCATCTGCCTGAGTTCGTCGTTCGTTCGCAGCTATTTTGACCACTCCTACCTTGCATTGAAGAAAATTGCGCTATGCTCACAATACCCCAACCCAATCCTGGGCTGTTCATCCGGCCCGTGCAAATGTGGTCAGCTTGCATCGGCTGCGCTGATTAGCTTTTTACTTGTCGGCTTCGTCTGTTTCGCTTGGTAAGTCCATCAGCTGCTATAGCACCACGTAATGTCCGTTCAGGATCAGTGTCGCACCGGGGTAAGTCGCGTGCCTCTCCCGGGACCAAAACCATGCTAGGCCCACAGTAAGTAAGTAATAAGTAATGTGTCAGCTGTACGCCGTAACGGCGCTTCGCTGCCGCGCGACCACCACCAGTCGCGCGCGGGCTGAGTATCCCGCGAGGACGCCCATCCCTACGCGGATTCGAACCGGTGACCTTATGGTTGCAAACCAAACGCGCAGACCACTCGGCCACCGGCCCACAGTACGGCAAACCAACTCCCAAGTAAAAGTTGTCAGCTTGCGCTGGTGACGCTGATTGGTTTTCCAGTGCAATGACTGCCCGCTGATTTCGATTGCGTGACCTGCACGCAGCCATCCCAAAGCGTTTCTGCAACTCTGTCCGATGTAACCCCATATGGGGTGAGCTCAACGAATAGAACCAAAACATTTCGCACTTAACGCGTACACAATCAAGGCAAACTAGTATCTATTCTATAGAATTGAAGACAGGTAGCTCCGGCTGTTCAGATGGCGGTTGAACTGTTCGCTGAGCTTGGCAATCTTGTTGCAAACGTTTCGTCACCAATTGAGGTGACATCATCAGCGCGTAGTTGAGTGGCGTGCAGTAGCGTTGAGGAACCTCTCACCGAGGCATGCACCCCGCGCATTTTTCTTTCTTGTAACTGCCTTTCATAATACCCTAACCTATAAGACCATTTGTCGTTATTGCGCCAATAAGGTCATGATTCTGCCTTAGTGTTAGCCACTTTACACTGCACACCAGTACCACGCATTGAAGGTCCCCTGGTGCGCGTGAAAATTTGGCTGCAGTTTGTTCCATCAATCCACACAGTTTGTCTCTCTTCAGCCTCCAATTGTAGCAGTGCCAACACAAGGATTTTGTTATCAACACTACAACCTACAGTCAAAATGTAACAACCATGAGCTTTACCCAATCCTCTCAAACAAGCGCATTCTGCAGAAAGCTGCGTGGCGCGGAACTCATTGGACGGTAACGTTCACTAATCGTGCGTATGCAGTCGACGACACACCTACATATCGGCTATAGGGTCAATGAGCACTCAATTCTGTAACTCGAAGTGAGTACCTAACGGAGGGCGGGTAAAAAACCTTGTTGGTCACCGGGTTCTCTGTGGACCGCTACTGAACACAAAGAAGGCGAATGAGCTACCCGGATGTCAGCGGTTTAGGTTAATCGTCCCGCTGCCTTACTGGTCAGGTCTTTATGACCAAAGGCTCGGGTGGGGTCTCTAAAGTCAACCCTCTTCCTCGGCCTGGGCAACCGGGAAGATCTCTGCTCGCACAACACATTAACCTTGTAAACCTTTCCACTGCCTACCTGTTTTCTCCTTCTTCTTCTTCTTCTTGTTGTTGTTGTTAACTATGAGTTGTGGCACTGCCGAGTGTATATTGGTCAGGTGTTGAATAAAAATAATAATAATAATATACAAAGGTGACCACCCTCACCCGGACTCATGATCACCTGCTGGGCTGTCAATTCCGTTTCTTGATCACTGAAATCAGGCCCACATGCACTCTAGGATTTTGCCTCATTACTTCAAATGTTTCAATCGCGTATAGGTTTAACCTGGTGTGAATGTACCAAACACTGGTCATATTTAGCACCAACCATAGCATTGTCGGTGATCTTACATGTTTCCATTATCAATCCGCCAACGCTACATTCATGGTTGTTACATTTTAACTCAACATGCGAATAGACTCACACCCAACACACATTCGGTTTGTGTCTGCGGAATAGGATGCTCTCATGCGTGACCGACCTCAAAACTGCACTGACCTCAACCACAATGGCAGCTGCAGTGCTGCATAGGGTGGCGGACAATATATCAACAGGTCGTTTTGGAATTGAGCGTTGCCCATACTGCGTGAACATGGAACGTGCACGCATAACTACCATAGGCAAGAACTGAGGCAGTGCAGCTAACACAGTGCATTAGACACGAAGTTTAGCTTTCCTGTCCAAGTATCTAACCAGGAGAAGAGGGCGGTGAGGAAGGATGATCTATTCCGTGAAGAGCAGTGGTTACGTACTATCAAAGATCAAACACATCAGACAGTTGCGATTTTTATGAAAATCCATTCAACGAGTACAGCGTGCTTACATAATTGCTGTGTACGGAATCCCATGGTAATCGTCCTTGAGTAGGGTCTGAATCAGTCCGCCTTATGCAAGCCACAAATAAGTTAATTAACCACCTCCTGCAATTGCGTACTGTAAATGAAGACCACCGCTAACACATGGTCCGTTTCGCATTTGATGCAGTGCCCGTTCACACAGGTTACCGTAGTAACCTTCACCGTACATGAGGTTTACTGTATCCAAAGTTCCATATAGCAAATTCCAGGAACAATTTCGATCTCCCTACTATCGTTGCCGCTATCTTGTACTGACCGAAAACGTTGCGGGTGTCAATTACCAAAGCTTACTTCAGTAACTTCATCCCAACTGTAATGAACTGTGCACTAATGGCTCCAAAGAATCCCCACACTACTGGGAGTTGGTCATTCAAACACGCCGTGTCAAAGTAAGTAGTATCCCAAAAGATGAACTCACCCAGCTGTGCGAAGCAATGTAGTGTCGAAACAGCCTACATGGTTTCCGAGATGATTGGCAAACTATCGCAGACACAGACTGAGCTGAGAATGCTTAAAGCAACATGTCTCCTTTTCCAGCGGCTGAGTACAAGATGAAGGCGTTTCCTAATCGCTATCCGCCGTAAATTATAGCATAGTGTTAAAGTAATAGTAGTGTATTTAGATCGCAAAAGTCCGCTCATCTCTAATATCCCAGACACTGATCTAACGATATTAGTGATGTGCAACCAAATGTAGTCTTGCACCCTAACAGCGATTCGCTGTATCTTGACACTACTCCACAACGGGTCTCAGAAGCATATCTGTCCGTCGGTGTTTAAATACAACAGCCCGTTATCAGTGGCGTGGCAACTACTTTTGCCAATCGAGGGGGTGGTAAGATTATCACCCTTACTGAGGGCAACATAGGCGCGTAAAGGCCATACGATCGGTAAAGAGCACACTAGCTTTCGATGCAAACTAATATGCGCTTAGGACCTTGAGGTGAATGTGTTGAAAGTGACCACTATGGAAGAAATAAGAGGATCACCGAGAAGGACGTTTGCACAAGTGTGACATGGCGCAAATGTGTTGTTGATCATGGAGAGTAACATCAAAATATTCCACTCACAGCTTATCTGGATAATTTGTCCTTTAAATTTGATGTCCAACATACGACGGTAATAAAAATGCGGCCCTTGGGCGGACCGCCTATGCGCCCCCATATTGCGCCTCTGCAAACGAAACAACTAAACGTATTCAAAGTGGATTAGTCATCTCTTCGTCTACATAATGCAAACCCCCGTCATTAAGCACGATCAAGTGTTGTGAGTTCAGCAATGACACCATAGGTGAATCATCGATAGTCGCTCATCTAAACTCAAACTGAGTGCAATGAAAACCAAACCGCTTATACCGGAGATGCATCACCAGGTTAACAACCATGTAGATGACGTTCCTGATGAAAAGCGCTTGATTGAATGTGCCGGTAAAGCATGTGCAATTTTAGTCGATAGCAATTAAGGACGTTAAGGTAACCGCTCATTTTCCCGAAAACAACACTGGAGCTAAGTTTCGACGGATCGCTCGCCTAATGCCGTATGTGTCATGGCGAGAGTACCCAGGGATTCCGTATTCGGGCGTACGTTGGGTCGTCAAAGACCCAGGGGATTGAAAGATGAAACAAATATTTGTTAGGCGGCTGGACCGTTTCATATCAACCACCTACTAGGAGTCCGAGGTGGATGGAGAGT